GGTCGATCGTATCAACGTTGTTTCGAGATTCGTGCTCAACCATCATCGATGGGACCACAAATTTCGAATTTCCGTGCTCAACCATGGGATCAATTAAGCCATGAGACCACGGATGTATGGATAAGCTAGGAAAGATTATAAGGAAATTGACGTATAGCAAAAATTCATATGTATTTAATAATCGTAACTGTAAATGCGTTATTTATTGAATAAATTATTTCAAATATGAAAATATCTAAGATTCTTAAATTATGTTTCTGCGAAACATATGCTTTTTATTTTTAATTTATACGTATTTGCAATATATTATATATATATGTATTTTGAATTTCTTTGACTTGTTTTTCACGTCAATTTGAACAAAATTTAACCCTGGATATAAAAATGCAAACAGCTTACCTTGTTTAAGGAAAAGGAAAAAGGGAAATAACATAATTCCTCATATATAAAAAAAAATAAAAAAAATTTAAATAAATACATAATCAAAGTTAAATATATTAATCAAATTAATCAAAATATATTGATTTATTCGAAGAGTTCATAGCAATTTTTATGACAAGATTAAAAGCAATTTTCCTACGTTTACATAATGATTTTTATTCAATAATATATGCACCGTTGTTTTCGACAACCTTTAGTCATCTCTAACAAAAGAGCATACATTAGAGAATAAAAATCATCATGTAAACATATAACAATTGTTTTTTATTTTGTATTAAAAAAGTCTACAAACTTTACGAATAACCTAATATATCTTGGTCTGATTTATGAATAAATAAAATTTATAAATAAATAAAAAAAGTACATACATGAAATATGAGTACCATAAAAAATTATAAATAAAAATTTAAGTAAAATCTTGTATAGAATTGATATTTCATTAAACATTGTACATTAACATTGTACTATATAAGAATTTAAATAATTGTACAGACTTATTTCATTAATTTTTCTTTCTCTTTATATACATATAATAGTATCATCTATGCAATAAACCAAAAAATTTCATTAATTAAAAATAAATATTTAATTTATTATATAATTAAATAATAATATACTTCATATTATAAAATTAGTATTTTCATGGTCTTCATATTAAAATGTACAATGTACCCTTTAATTTATAATTTTGTATGTGCATCATAACACATATTCCAGGGCTAAATCATGAACAAATAATCTAAGTCCTAGCCTATACATTTTAAAATAATGGATCGAAGAAATGGTTTTACTTTTTATAATTTTATGTAAAATATTCTTGTACATGATTATATGTTTAATATTCTACTATCTTTTTACCTATTGTTGATCTATTTATAATTAGTCTCTGAATTTTAACATACTAACAATATTAATTCGAAGGGTTATTAGGCCGATGAAAGTTGTTCAGGCTCAAATTTATGTGTTTAATAGTGTGTTTCTTTTATAAAAAAACAAATGTGTGTTTCGGTTACGCATATAATATCTCACATATTTATTTTTTTCCATCCGCAACAAAAAATTCAACAAGACAAACGACGGATAACACACAGACAAATAACATTTGAGAACATTATTAGTTACAAGCTGCCGGCAATGAGACAATAGACAAACACAATACACGACACATAAAAAAGACAAAAATTTACATTTCACAATTTTAAACATTAATTATTACATAAATAACCCCGACATTACTTGAACAAGTAACAGAATAATATGTATGCAAGATATTATATGCGTAATCATAATTTAAATGAAAATTTTTAAACACTAAGAATTTTACATAAAAGCGCAACGACTTGCAGTAATCTAATAGTTCTTCAAATCAATATTCTTTAATTTAATTAAATTAAAAATTTTAAAAAATTTAATTTATATGAATTAAAATAAGAAACACTTTGCTCATTTTTGATATACAACGCATTTTGCAGATTATATTTTTTAAATTATTTTTGTAATTATAATTTAATATAATATATATCTTATAAATATATATATAATAAATTTGCTGATATAAACGAATTTAATTTAAATTATTCAAAATAATAAGTACTTTGTTCTTTTAATAAATAATTCTTTAATGAATACACGTACAACTCAAAATACTTAAAAAAATACGTCAGAATAATATTGTATTTTTATACAATTATTATAAAAATAAAAATAGCAATAAAAATAAAAAGCAATAAATGGTCCGCAAAGTGTTTCAAAAGTATGTTTTTTACCCCATTGTTCAATCCATTATTTTAATAATTATGAAAAATTGGGCTGACTCACCAGTCGATGCGCTGCAGTGGAATTGTTGTTCTGTTGATCTGTAAAATACAAAAATAAATAAAGATTAGAACTCTGCGTTAAACATAATTAAAATTTGTAAACTTATAATTGCATACATTTAACTTTCAATTCATTTTCTAAGCAAATTTATGTTATAAAAGATTGATTGAAATTTAATATATTTAATCGATTTAATAAATTTAATGTGCAACATTTACAACAAGTAAATAAATTATTACTCACCATAAAGTTGTTCCACCGGCACCTGATGCTTCTGAGCCTCCTCCTCCTCTCAGTGGTCTTCAAAGTATTCATATACATTCGCGAATCCAAAAATCGCACGGCACTTTAAACGGCACTCCCGAATCCCGACGCGTATTTTGTTAGGTTAGAACAAAAATAAAACTCGAATATCGCTCGCACGGAATACGCGTTCGATACTCTACAGTGTACGCAACAGGTAATGAATAGAAAGGAGGGAGAAAAGTGAAAACTGTGAGGAGTAATGAGGGTTGTAGCGGCAGAGGGGGAGGGGGATAACGCGCCGACAGGTGAAACGATCTATCTCGTTCAAATACCGCCGTGCGAATAGTCCAAGAGCAAGGATATAAGGTGACGTAGAGAAAGTACTATTTGGAAGGAGTAGGGGAAAGGAATGTGCGTGCCGATAAGGCGTGCGAGAGAAAGCGTGAGAGCGAGGGAGAAAGGATATAGAGTCCGCTGGCTACTGAGCATATGTAAACAACCCCACCAAACCGCTCTCCCCATGCCGTGAGTTACCGTCGAAATTCCTAATATGATATACTATAATATTTTTCACATTACAAGATATTCTTCGCGTTCAGAATTTTAATTTCGATTAATAATTTACTTTAATTTATTTTATTTTTCGCTTTCTATCGTATTTTGTATCGTATCGTATCTTTAAAATTTTTACCTGTAGATTCGTCACAGGAATGCCTTAACACATGAATTTGTCAACGAGTCGAGGCACGTTTGAATTGGCTTGTGTGAAATTCACACTCGTGCAAGTTCATGTGTTAAGGCATTCCTGTGACCGTGTGTACAATGCAAAAAATTTAAATTTTAAAGCAAAATTCTTATCTATTGAGATATAATTTGTATTTTCCATTTTCTATTATCTACTTTAAGTAAATCAATCGCGCAAAATTCCTTCTTTTATAATAGATCGATACTCGATGCTGGAATATTTATTTATTTAAGAAAATTGAATTGAGCTAATGAAGGATAAATATTACAAAAAAAAATAATTTTGATAGTTATAAATTTGTATATAAGTGATTTGATAAACCGTATATTTTGCAAAATTTATTTCATCGAGATTTATTGCGTGGAAAGTCGGCACACATATACATACGAAACAATATTTTTTTTTCAAACATTTTATTTTGAGGATATTTAATGTTAACTTATATATTTATTTATTTATATAACAATATAAAATAGTAAAACGTCGTAAATGTATAAAAACGCGGAATTTTAATGCAATAAAATTAATTCTTATCTTAGATAAGGCTAACGAGTTTAAAATAACGCTGAAAAAATTGTGATAAATAATTTATTTATGAAAATTTACATATTTATTTACATTTATATGTTATGATATAAGATAAAAAAAGTGCTATTAATGCGTGAAACGTGAACATATTAATGAATACACTACTTTTTAACTGCATAAAACAGAAAGTATACTCAAGTAGTTTAGGCGTAGCATAAACGCGACACAGACGACGTACAAAGTTAACTGCACGACTTCTTATTTTTCTTTACTGTCGTTGATTATTGTCGTGAATGTTGCAATCAAGTTGTTTCTTCATCGTTTGATAATAGTAAATCAAATTTTTGCGAATTTATTATAAATAATATTATAAATTTATATTATTATAAAATGCTAACAATGAGAGAAAGTATATGTATATTTATTGCTTTAGAATTTTTTGATTGTCGAAAGATATTTTATTTTGCACAATCAATGTACATCGGAAATAAATTGAGTACACACTCACTATTCAAAATAATTTGTATAGATACTTAACTATGTTAACAAAAAATTTTTACCACGAATATTTTTAGACGTTTCGTGATTGTCATTGGGCTTGTTCGTTTTAGCTACACTGGGGCTGCTCTGGGTCTGCTCTACACAGGATAATACAGGACAGATAAATAGTTTGTCCTGTATTATCTTGTTTAGAGCAGACCCAGAGCTGCCCCAGTGCAGCTAAAACGAACAAGCCCATTGTATCACATCATTAACTCGTATGCTGTCTCTCTTGAATTTCGAAATAAATTTCAACAAATCTATTTCTTTCACTTATCTGCAGACTTTTATTTAATAAAAAATTATGAAGTATAATACACAAAAAGATTTTCGTCCATCTGTAATTAGATTTAGCATATAATGCTGTTATATATATGAAAAATGTTTTTAAGCATGCATATTGTCTGAGTAGCTAGATATCTCACATGCAATTTTGGTCCAGACTATTAAAACATACTGAAAACTTTGTATTGATTCTGCAGACATTGTCTATTACAGAAGTATAAAATTTTATATATATGTTTGTTCCAAACTCTATTGATTTTTTTCAAAAAATTGATTTTATCAGATGAGAAATACATTATTGGAAATCGATATATTACCAGCTGTGCATGTTACATAAAAGTTACATAAAAGATGCAATAGATGGCACAAAACGGCGACCGTCCTTGAAGACCACGGCAGTTGAATTTCAATTGAATTTCTCTTGGTGATAATACACGTGTTATAACCTTTCTTCTACATGTTTCTCAACTTTTATTAACGACTGATATTGTTTTATCGTGCGATATTGCCAGATATTGCGACGGATACCACGAGAATGCTACGCTCTACGAAAGAGTCGGACGATGAAGCGGAGTCAAAAACAGGTTCACTTATTTTTTCGTTCTGAATATGCATGTGATACGTATCGTATTGCCGGTTATAACATGGTACAACGGTCGATTTCGTATCAAAAAAATTATATCTTGCATTTTTTATGCCGTCATCAGTCGCTTCGGGATATAAACGTATCATGTCACAAGATTTATTCTTTTTTTTAATAGTTCCAACAGCTTTTTAAAATTTTTCTGAAATATTGTTTTCATTAAACAATAATTGCCGGTTCAAAAAATGCTTCCAAATTGATCACCCGATTTTTTTATACAAGATCTATGACCTTATTTATTTATTATTGATTTAATTAAGTTGATCTAATTGATTTAGATTCTTCAAGATTTACTATTTAGACAAAGCACATGTGCAATTATTTCTGTAGACTGATTAATATGCGCTTCATTTACACGGTATTTTAGAATATATAGATATTTATATTTCTCTTGTCCGTTTCACTCAGGAATGATTGTATGATTTTTTTAAACTATAAGATATTTTACACTCTAATAACAAGTCACTTAATATATTGTTCATTTTTCTCAATGCAATTATATATATTTTTCTTTGTTTAAATTAAGGATATTGTTCAAAGTTACAGAATAAACCTGTGAGGAAATCTATATACATTAATGTTCTGAAATATTAACAAAATATTCCACAACAATCTGTAATATGCAATATATTATTAGTAACACTAATTTTTAAGTGGGGTTTATCAGACTTTTCACACAAAAAAAAGTACTCAGTCATTCCAGAGTTAAATATGATTATATAAAGTATTGCTATATCAATACATGTATATTTTAATCTTTATTTTATGCATGTTATTTTAATTTTTTATTATTTTGTATGTTATATCTATAGGCCGCATACAGACTCGAATTCTTAGTTCACATATGGTAAATTCTCCATTGCGTCGTAGCAGCAGAATAAAACAAGCTAAAATTTCGCCAGGATCTGAAAGTGATACTAGCAACAATAGTCAACCTGTCAGAATTACCAGACAACGAACAGCGACTATGGATTCTATTGTATCAGAGACAGTAAAAAAACGACTTACTCGATATACTTCTGTCTCTTCAGATCTTAATGAGGCCTCAGATATTGATATGGGAACACCGACAAAAAGAAGAATTACAAAGAACAGTACTACACCTACTCGAGCAACAAAGTATAGTGAACACATCGATACAATTATATTTAATTATATATGTATGAAATACTAATGTTTTTGTTTTATGTAATTGTTAGTAAGCGCCTTACAAGAGCTGGTTCTGAGGCAAAGTCACCCACATATGTTAAAATCACACGCAGGACAAGATCTAGTTCTGTTGAACCAGAATCTTTACAAGAACAAAATAAGAGTCAACCTAGCACACCAGTCAGAATACGCAGACGAACATCTATGTTACCATCAGGCTCTCCAGTTAAAGAAGAAGCTGAAGAAGGAAATATTACGCCTAAACGATTAAATCCTACAATAACTGAGATTGATGAACTTACAGGCACAGGTAATTTCTTAAAATTATATCTTTTAAATGAATCACCATGTATTTAATATTAAATCTGAACTTATAATGACAGTTTATTATTTAATAAGTGTGTATTATCATGATGATTTTTATGGATAACTTTATGGAATTTGTTATAACAGATCTAATGAATGTTTATCTAATGCTTGAGTCTGACATCCATCTTATCTTTTTTTAGATAAAATAGCAATTGTACCCGTTTTGTTAAAATCAGATGAAATACTGTCATTATCTCAAAACAAAAGTAAAATACAAAGCGAACATATGGATCAAGTGACAATGAATAAGGAGCAAACAGTTGGTGAGTAAAGTTGATGATTTTAAATTTTCCAACATTAAATTTACTCTATATCTTTTGCCGAAATACATATTTTAAGAGAAAAATACATTTATTGGAAAAATTAATTGTAAGATTACTTGTTAAACTAAATGCACTACTTATTTTATTGTAACCTTTTAAATTATGTTAATTCATTTGATGATGGAATAAATGATAATTTATGTATGTTTGTTTTTGCAATAGTTGAAGGCCAATCCAGTTCTGAAGAAAGTTTGCTGCCTAATATTAGTGTAAGTGATGAAAAATCTACCGACAATAACTCTTCATGTTTGTTAGAATCTAATAAAGAAGATAAATCTAAAGAAAGTTTGTTAGTAGAGCAATCGTTAATCGACATATGTCAAGATTCGTCTACAAAGAACTTAACAGAAAACTCTTTGAATACTTTTATTGAAGAACAAAAGAGAAGTAACAAGGAAAATGAAACATCAAACATAATTAGTGGCACATCAGCAGAGAAGAATATACAACCTTTTATTAGTAATGTTGTATCACTAAGCACAAAACAATCTCTGACTTCAGCACTTGTGAATAAATTAGATGAGAAAGAAGAAAAGTCCGAAGAAACAAATAAAATTTCACCTATGAACCAAACTGAAACACAAGAGAAAAATGTTAGTAAGAAAAATTTGGACACTAATATTATTACAGAAGATGGCAACGAAATGAATTTAATATTGGAAGAACGAAGTCTAGATCGACGTGAAAATGAAGCTTTATTAAATGTATCTGATTCTGATAATGAAAATTCTGATAATGAAAATTCTGAAAATCAGTCAAACATAATGGATAAACAGTCAGCTACAGATGATATAATCAACAATGATACAGTTCAAGATGATGTAGACAATGCTGATTCTACAGAACAGGAACAGAATTTATCTGAAACAAAATCACAACCAGAACCTTCTAATATTCCAACAATTGATTTGGAGTCCTCCGACTCGGATACGAGTAATATAGTAATTCAAGATAATCAGTCTTTTAATATAACAGAAACTTCTGAGAAATCTGCAGTTGATACCTCAGGAAACAGCATCGAGTTAGTATCATCTCAGCCTGCAGCTTTATCACAAGAAGCAGAATCAAAAGACTCCTTTTCCTCAAAAAGCAATTCAGAACAGAAGAGTGCATGCAATGTATTTGAAGCTGAAGAAGAAAGCTCGCAATTGGAAAAGAATAAAAAAAATCAAGAAGATATGGAAACTATTGATAAGGATTCTGAAGTTAATATTGCTATTAAACTCTTCCAAGATATTTCTGCTGACGAGTGGAAGAAGAAAGACGATGAGGATGATAATGGTTCGGTAAATTCTAATCATCAATCAGAGGCAAAGCAGGAAAGCGACGCTGAATGTGATCTCATTTTGGTAGACAAGCAAGCCTGGCTAACTGCTAAAGATATAAAAGCACAAGAAGAGAAAGAATCTTTTGAATATGACTCAGATGATACCGTGCTATTGAAGAGCCAATCAGATGCAGCGCGAGCAAATGATGAAGCCAAAACTTTGGACATTGTGGATGAAGAATCAGTAGATATTGATAGTAAAAAAGACGAAAAAGTGGAAGAAATCAAGAAACGAAAGTCATTGACTAAAAAGAGATCTATATCTAAACGAAATGAAGATTCTTCATCTGAATGTATAGACGATGAAGAAATTTCAATTACCGTTGTTAAATCTAAAATGTCCTTAAATCAAAGTAATAATCCATCCACTTCTAAATTAAATAACTCAGGACAAGCAGCGAAAGCAACAAAACAAACACATGAAAATTCGGATGAAGAAGCTGAAGATGATGCAAATAAATTAAATAGAAGCAGTCAAGTAAATAAGAATATATCTTTGCGAAAATCAACAGGTGGAAGAAAATCATTGAATAAATCTTTGATGAATACGTCTTCAAATCAAGACGATGATGAAGAGAATGATGTGCAAATGATCTCTATAAATAAATCTCAAATGGATATCTCGGAAGAAGACAACACAGATGCACATAAAGAAAAAAGTTTAAAGCAGACAAAACGTTCCTTGAATAAATCGCGCGATAATAAGACAGTTGCTGATACCGAATGTGAAAAGGACTTATCAAACGAAGATAACAAAAATGCATCCTTAAATCGTTCAACAAATAACAAGCCAAAGATGATAGAAATATCGGACGATGATGAAAGCGATAATAAATGCAATAACAAAATGGCATTATCTGAATTAAAAAATTATTCCATAATAGCACATGCAGGAACAGATACTGAATCAAGCAACGATGATGATACTGACGCCAACAGTATAAATAGTGATGTCAAAAAAGAATACAATTTGGATGGAAAGAAACAAAAGTTCTCAGATGATAACGTAGTTGGTGATGATTGTAGAGCTTCAGAATCAGAATATTCAGATTCTAATGACAACGGTTCGGATCTTGATGGTTTTATTGTTAGCGATGATAAAGTAGAAGATGAGGAAGAAGAAGATGAGGAAGAAGAAGATGATCAAAGTATAAAAAAAGATGATGAAAGTGAGGATGTAGTTACTGAAACTATACATGAAAAGAATGAAGAAGAAGATAAGGATGGAGAAGAGGACGAAGAGGACGAAAATGACGAAATGGATGTTAAAATCATAAGTGAAATAGAAAATAAAAATGACAAAGATACGTGCGTACATAGTGAAGAGGAAGTGGATGTTGAAATCGTAGATAAATCAATTGCAAAGAAAAACAAAAAGACCTTTGCAAATAATTTAAAGTCGCGCATAGAAAGCAGTACACCAAAGCATAGCGCTGATAAACAGGCATATTGGATTTGCGAGCCACCCGAAACACCCTCAGTAGATTTACATCCGGCATTGTTTCATAAGGATACTTGGTACTCAGATGCGAAGAAAACAAGAAAAGATACTTTTGAGAAATTGAAGACTCCTGTAAAAGGAAATACTAGTTTAAAGGAGTTCAATCATACAAGTTATAGAGAAGAGAAGTTAAATAGAAGTCTTCCATCTGACTTGCCGAATGTGAAAATCAAAAAAGCTCATACCGTTAAACCGGATGTCAAAACCAATCTCGCAAGACTACACAAAACAATGAACATTTCCGATGATGACATGTCCACAATAAGACATCTTAGAAAGGAAAAATTAAGTGAAAGTGTACCATTAAGAGTTGACACAAAAGTTACTCCATTAAAGAAAAAATTATTGCTAAGGGAAGAAACGAAGAAGAATACTACGCAGATAGAAATAAAAGAAAAAAATAATGAGGAAGAAGTATCTGATCTGGTAATGCCTTCTACGGATGATGCTATACAAAAACATAGTCAGCGGAAAAAACACAAGAAGCAAGCGGGAGAAGCATTGAATGAAAATATAACTAATCAGGATAGTCGGCAGAAAAAACGCAAGAAGCACGCGGAAGAAGCGTTGAATGAAAGTATAACTGCTCAGGATAGTCGGCAGAAAAAACGCAAGAAGCACGCGGAAGAAGCGTTGAATGAAAGTATAACTGATCAGGATAGTCGGCAGAAAAAACGCAAGAAGCACGCGGGAGAAGCGTTGAATGAAAATATAACTGATCAGAATCAAAAAGTTATTGAGTCAACAACAAAGATTGAAGTTGCCAACCATTCTCCAATGCTAACTGCGAAAGATACCACTAGTAAAAATTTGGAACAGATTAAGAAAAAGAAGAAAAAGAAGCAAATCGACGTAATTGAACAGAACGAAAATGTTGGTGAAGATAATACAACTAATTCAAAGCTAGTTGCACAGAAGAAGAAGAAATCTGCCCAGCATTCCACGGTGTTAATCACAAAAGATAATAACAGTAAAGATTCGGACCAAATTAATGAGAAAAAGAAGAAAAAGAAAAAGAAGCAAATTGACATAATTGAACAAGAGGAAAGTATGAACGAAGATAAAAAGAATGTTCGCAGAAACGAAACGGAATTAGCACAGCGCAATAAAAAGAAGGCTGACAAAATAGTAAGTAGTTTAGAGCGAGATGACTACACGGTTGCAAGAAAGAAACGTAAAGAAAAAGAAGTACTGGAAAATAAAGAAACTTTATCAGAAGAATCAACGAAAAACATTGTGCAAATAAAGACAAAGAAGAAAATTAACAAGAAAGAAAACGCATGTAACCAGATGATGCCGATTAGCGACGATACTGTACAAAAACGTAGTCAGAAGAAACGCAAGAGGCAGACGGAAGAACCATTGAATGAAAATATTGATGATGAAGTTGTATCTCAAGACCCAATAGAAACGAAAAAGAAGATTAAACGTGTTAAGTTTTCCGCAAACGAAGAGGAAATTAAATTTGCTAAGCAGAGAGAACCAGTTACAAAGGATGATGTCTACGAAAATTTGAATCAGATTAATGAGAAAAGAAAGAAAAAGAAAAAGAAGCAAGTAGCCGTAACTGAACAGGATAACATCATAAACGAAGATGATATTAACGCTACCAAAATTGGTCGGAGAAAAGAAAAAGAAAAGAAGCAAGTAGCCGTAACTGAACAGGATAACATCATAAACGAAGATGATATTAACGCTCCAAAAATTGGTCGGAAGAAAAGAAAAAGAAAAGAAGCAAGTAGCCGTAACTGAACAGGATAACATCATAAACGAAGAT